TAATAATTAAATAAATTATAACCTTGTAGATGGATCGGGCGTCGGTGGCGACGGTGGCTGTGGGGCGGGGCAGTGGCGATTTGGTCGGACGACGGCGAAAGGACCGTCGGTGAGTGGCCGGACAACGATGGGTTTTTGTTTTCCTTTTCTGTGAGTTTTTTTTTCTTATTTTTGGGCAAAATGAAGCAAAATGAACGGGATAGAGAGGAGAGAAGAAGATAGAGGGGAGAGAGGTGTCGAGCTGGCAATTATGGAAGGAGAGAGAGAGAGGTGGGGGCAGCTAGGCAATTAAGGAGGAGAGAGAGTGGAGTCATCGTTGACCATGACGACTCCAGTCAAGGCTCGCGTTTTTAGCAGTCTTCTCCACTACCAGCCGTTGGATCGATAATCTCAATCTAAGTCACACAAATTATTTCATTAAAATAAAATAAAACCATTAATTCAAATTCGATTTTAAAAAAATTAATTAATTAGACCGGTTAAATGGAGTCTCCACGCCACGTGGCGGCACAAAAATAAGTCGCCATGCCACGTGGCGACATACCCTGTTTTGTTTACACTCTTCAAAACAGTCATATTTTGTTTATTAATTTTGAAAACGGGACTCGAAAAAAAAAAAAAAAAAAAAAAAAAAAAGCCCCATAAAAATATGAGTAAATAAGCTGAGAGAATAATGGGGGATTTAATTTATATTACACCATGAAATGTGAGTACAACAATAGTCACTAATTTCTCTTTTCCAAAAATCCACAAATTCGTAGAAACAAACACAACCTATTGTAATACGGATATGGGAATGCGGACACGGCGAAACAAGGACACGGGAAAACCCCATTTTTCCAAAAGTTGGATACGAATGTTGGGAAACTTGTAAATTTTAAATATATGGAGGTACATCCATAATTTCTAAAAAATATTACTATAATGTTTAACTTATATATATACTTATCGTCAATTATATATTTGTTTCTACATATTGTATATAATTTACAAGTCCGATCCCAATCCGAATTTTCACTTCACAAATTACATTCAAAGCATATAAATTTATTTTAGTATGGAATTAACATCTACAGAAAATATTAAAATACACCACTAGAAGTGAAAGAAAATACTTAAGATTTAAGAAACAAAATTTAGGTGTAGGCAATTTTGAGTTTTATTTAAAACGGGGTTTGGATTATTTTTTCTCGCTGGAAACGCGTTTTAATTTTTTCATTATTATCTGAAACGTCCTTTAAACTTTTAAATATTTACACAAGTGGTCTTAAAATGTTTCGGACATGTTTCATGGTGTTTCAGTTTCCGAAACGTAGAAACACATGCATGTGCATAGAAGTTTCCGTGCATCATAGCACACAACACAATTCATTAGCAAAAAAAATCATCAATACCACTATACATTAGAAAATACATAATACATTATAGGTTATTTGCGATACTAATTTCATTAACTGCAAGACCAAATTAAAATTTTCAATGTACAAATACTATAATACCATTCATTACTTGTTAAAAAATAAAATAAAAATTGATGTAATATCATAAACTAAAAAAACACACAAAAATTTAACCACAAAACCACAATAACAAATTCTCATCTTCTCCATCTTCCAAAACCCACAAAAACCTTTCTCCATCTTCCATAAGCCCGCAAAACCTCAACATGCAAAACCTTCAAAACACCACAAACCTTACAAATAGGGCAATAATGAACTCAAAAAACATCAAAATAAAAGATCCTTCGGTGGAAGAACCCACGAAGGTATGCATTTATGTGCATTATTAGCTAGGTTATCATTTTTTTTTAAATCCGCGCAGACGCGATTCGATATTTACATGTCGAATATTGTCGCCAAAACTCGACATTAAGATGTCGAGTTTCAGAATGCACAAAATTGGACGTGAAAATGGCGAGTTTGTCGCACATATATCGACATCTAAATGTCGAGTTTTGGGTACAAAATTCGACCTGTCAATTTCGAATCACGTCTTCGCGGATTTTTTTTGAAAAACGATAAACTAGCTAATAAAACATATAAATGCACACCTTCTTTGAGTTATTTCACCGTATAATCTTTCATTTTAATATTTTTGACTCCATACATGCCCTTTTTGTAAGGTTTGTCGAGTTTTCAGGGTTTTAAATGTTGAGGTTTTGTGGGTTTATGGAAGAGGAAGGAGAAAAGTTTTTCTGGGTGCTGGAAGATAGAGAAGATGAGAATTTGGTCTTATGATTTTGTGATTAATTTTCTTTTATTTTTCAATTTATGGTAATGCATCAATTTGATTTTTTTTTTTTAACAAGTAGGGTATTATAGTATTTGTATATTAAGTTTTTCTATTTTGATCTTGCATTTAATGGAATTAATATTGCTAGTAGTATGACCCGTATCATCCTTACTATATAGAAGTTAGTACAAACATCAAATTATGACAAGAGATGCAATTAACCAAACGAAAAGAAGAATGAAAAATGCATATTTGCAGCGGGAGTTTTACTGAATGCAGGGGAATCTCATTCATTTGATTTTTTTTTTTTTGAAATTTTCTCTCACTCTCTCAAACTCTCTTAACACATTCAAACTTTGAAAAAAACCTCGGCTTCTAATCCGTAGCGTACGACTCTCGATTATGGTATTTTTTTTCTAAACTGAGTACTTTCAATCAATTTCATTTACAATTTAGTTAAAAATGTATGTTAGGATTAGTGATTTTTCGAAAGAAAAAAAAAAGTAGTTGTTTCATGTTCTAATGCACGAAACCCTGAATTTTTTTTAAGGTTTAGTGCTCTAGAGCACGAAACCGTGAATTCTTTTTGAGAGTTTAGTGCTCTAGAGCATGAAACCCTGAATTTTTTTTACTAGAATTTTTTTGAAGGTTTATGCTCTAGAGCACGAAACCCTGAATTTTTTTTATAAGACCCTCCAAAATTTTCTAGGTTTCGTGCTCTAGAGGCACTAAACCTTCAAAAAAAAAACTCTAGATTTCGTGCTCTAGAGCACTAAACCTTCAAATACTTTCAGATGTTCGTTATGTGGAGAATTAAACCTCTAATTCTTTTGAGGTTTCGTTTTTTGTAGGACGAAACCCCTTCCTTTTCGAATTCTTTTAGGGTGCATTTGGATGGAGGGATTTGGGGGAGGGATTTCAAATCCATAATAACAAATCCCTTGGACTTGTTTGGATTGAGGGATTTGGAGATGGATTTCAAATCCCCACCCCTCCTTTTTAGTTGATTTTGGAGCAATAGTGATG